CCCTCTGGGGTGTGCCGCAGGTTTCTTTTCTCTTTCTGCTCCTTTTCAACAACTACATAAAGCCGCTGGGTGAGATCATCCATCATCATGGGATGAGGTATCATCAGTATGCTGATGATACTCAGTTATATATCTCCATCCCTGGTGAGGTAAGTGATGCCGTGACCACCCTCTCGTGGTGCCTGGAGGCTGTGAGGGTCACGTTTTTTTCATGGCGCAATGATGAAGTGATGGGAGCTCGTTTGTTCATAAACGTCTGCAAGTACAGACTTAGGATGAGGAAAAGATGGGGAAGGTCAGGCAAGAATAACCCATCTTTACTCTAATTTACACTGGTTTTTTTTTCCTAGCAGGGAGGAGCCTGTTAGGAGCACTTACAGACTCAAGTAAAGAACACTTCCTGTAATTAATTGGGGAAAACTAATCTGATTGTTTCTGCCCATTATAAAGGTAAAGTCCCTGTTTTCCTCCCTGAAGTTACTAAGGCATTAATATTATTGAATAATGGAAAGGCAGCAGGTGGAGATACGATCCAAGTTAGTAAAAGCCAAAAGCAGCTGGTGGACTCTTGTACTAGCATCTTAAGATACACTACAGCTGAGTCAGGAACACATTGATTCAGCTGATGAACGGTGATGTTGACATGGGATCATGCAATTCAGAGGCAGCGAAAAGACTGCATCAGGGCGTCTGCACACACATCCTGTTGGCCCAGGGTTTAGGCAGTGATGCTTTTGTGAAAGCAGAGTTTAAGACTTCCCTTAGTGTGCTGTTTTCCTGGCCTTTGGGAAATTGTATTTTGCAAAACCTGTTTTCACCCAGTTTTCTGTGTACCTTTGTTTCAGGATCCATAATGGAAGTGCTTTCATCCTGGGCCCCAGCTGTGGGTTTCACCATCTTGCCTAATATAGGAGGTCTTTGGGGAGCACCAATAGTCAGGAGAGAAATGGCTTGGTATAGATCCCTGAAACTGCCATCCTGGCGTCCACCAAACTGGGTGTTTGGACCCGTGTGGGGAATTTTGTATACAGCGATGGGGTAGGCAATTTCTTTGTCTGGTTACTTACAGGCCAATTTGCCTGTTACGCTGAATTCCTAAAAAGATACCATGCATATGGTTAACCGGGATCAGCCCATGAAGCAACAGTATACCATTAGCCTTGGCTTTTAATTGATACTGAGGTCAGTTCAAACTGCTGCTGTTTGTTTAATAAAACAAATGTGTAGGTCAACTTAGTCACCCTAGGAGGCTTACCAAGTATAATAATTAGGACTAAAACAGCCGTCAAGAAGGAGAAAACAAATCATTACAAGTGCTACATTGGCAATTGTAGCATCCTGAATGGTTTGGAGTCAGATGGTTGTCAATAACGTTTCCCCCCATGTGTTCTTGCCTAAATAATCAGATGATTATCTGAGTTAAGTTTATTGCTGGTTTTAAAAATCCCCATATCCAGTTTATTTTCTGACTGTGTCTTCTGTCCTTTTAGATACGGATCTTACCTGGTGTGGAAGGAGTCAGGAGGTTTCAATGAAAGGTCCTTTGTTCCACTTGGACTGTATGCAGGGCAGTTAGCCTTAAACTGGTCGTGGACTCCCATCTTTTTTGGACAACACAGAATAGGACTAGTAAGTTTAGGAATATATGCACAGGGTACATGTCATTGGCTCAGGAGCCTCGAACTGTGCTTTAAGACTAATTTTCTCAGGATTTTTTTCCCACAACAATTTGTGTGCCACAATAACTACTGTTTGTTGCAGAGGGTGGGCAAAGTGGGTTTTACTTTTCTCAATAAATAAATGAACCTTCTGGCCCATCGCTCTAAATAAACCTTGCAAATGCTACTAATAATGCCGTGATATCCAATACATGATATACCATAGAGGAAAGGTTGTGGCAAACCTGACTTTTAAACTAACTTAACATTGTTAACAAACTTTAGGGTTCCCACAAGTTACAGTCTGCAAACCAGGTACATTCAGTATTCATGTAATATACAAGTCGGATTTTAAAAAATCTTCTTGTACTGTTTTTCTCAGGGGAAAAAGATGGAACACTTGATCTGAGGGGGCTTGCTGAAAAAAATGTCCAATAAATGGCACTTTTTGAAACAGGCTGCTTTGATAAATTAACCCAGGGACAACTAGCAGTAGTAGTTGGGAGGTTGCTAGCAACAGTATTGCTTTTAGGATTTGTAATAGTTCCTCTTAAGGACCCTAAGGGGAAGTCTGATCATGGGGACAACTTTGGGTGGAATGCTATTAGCCATCTCCATATTCAGAGGATTAGTATTTGCATAATCAAATTAGCAAGATCTTTCAGTTAGAAATATCAGCCATTTAATTCATCCCTGGTAGAAATACAATGTTTAGTGCCCTGTTTTTGGGAAGGGAGGGGACCTGGGGGTGTTCTCTCTTTCTCCAGGATGAGCCCAGCCCTCTGGAAAGGTCTCCTTCTGGAGGTGACGATGGCTGCATTGGTAACAGCCTTCTGGAAGCCACTAAAACCAAATTATTCCAGAAGGCATTTATTTGTTGTACATTATAATTGCTGTTGACCACCAAGAGCCACAAGATGTAGTGATGTGTACATTTAATAAAATATATAAACAGATGAATTTTCACAGATGAAACTTTTCTTTGCCCTCATTGAATAAAAAAGTTTGCATTTAGGGTTAAGATTGACTTACAATCTTACTGCTTCCTTTTCCCTCCTCCAGAATGTCCCTGTTCCCCAGGCATGATAAATTTTTTTGTTAAACTGCTCCTGTAACAGAGATTGAAGGATAGGGTAGGGTTTTCTTCCATAAAAGCTCCTTCATGGAAGTTTCTAAGAAGTTTCTAAAACTGTTTACCGGTTTCTCTTTGTTCTGATCCAAATGCAGTACTTATTCAGCAGGCAGGGCAAAGGTAATCTGAAGCAGCTGGTGGGCTTACATTCCCATGAACAGTTTGCAGACAAACTCAGTTCTCAGTTATGACTGTAAAATCCAAACTAGGGTGCGTTTTCCTCAGTTTTGTACAACTGCTTTAACTGTCCAACATTCTTAGAGATATCACTGCTTCCTTTCCTAAACTTGTGGAGAACTTTATCTAAATTGCTTCTGCCCTGTGGATGAGGAACTAGCTCAACAAATGAGATATCCCTCCAGTACAATTTGGTTGGGAGAAACTTATTATTTAAATTATTTATTTGCCACTTACCATTGCCAGTCACCTCCAAATGCAAAACAGTTAATACATTTTAATAAATATTAAAGCTAGAGCTATGCCGGACATTCAAAAGAGGTCCTTTACAAAGCCTGTTAACATAAACAAATCATCTCTCTTTGAAGCATTAAAGCAGCCACGTCCTTTGCAAGGCTCATGCAGCTGCTTTAAAAATATCCCTGGTTGTTTGCAAGTACATGCAGAGACAGCAGTTCTGCTGGGACTGCCAGTGAAGGGAAACAGCTGGGTGTGCAGAACTCTGCAATCAGTACAGATGTTGAAGCAGCTGTACAACTCCTGCAAAGGACACAGCAGGTTTAATATGCCTCTCATAGCACCTTTTCCAAATGCACAGATTGATGAAAACAATAAGCATGAGAGTGTGCACCTGAAATTTATTAAGGCTTGTGAGGTTCCGCAAGTAATTTCTGGGAGAGTGGGAGTTTATAATCCAGCCGATGAGAAATTGTTTTGGGACAAGCAGCACTCTGCCTTTTCTGGCTCCAAGATCCATACGACTCTCCACCCAATGTAAAAGGCAGTCCCTGTTAAATTCTTTAGCGGGCTTTGGTTGCTTCTAGGTGGGCTTTTGATTTTACACCCTCTTGCATCATTCACACATTTTTTGTGGATTATTTATCCCACTTTACCAGAGGAGCTCAAAGCAGCACACCTAGCACTGCCTCTTCCATTCTTTCCTGTGTTTGGGTTGAGAGAGAATGAGTGGGTGGCCCAAAGCCGCCCAGGGAGCCTCTCTGGGACCAGTCCAGACCCCTAACCATTGCATTCCACTGCCCCTTAGTTGAATTGCCTGCTCTCTCAACTCTTATTGTCCCTGCTATGCTCCATGCGTTGGGTGAGCCCGTGGTGATCAGCACAACCTGCTAGGAAAGGAAGTGACATAACAAATATAACACTGTTCTCTCTGCTCTTGAATTCAAGAGTAAACACATCTTTATTTTTCTGTTTCAGGGACTAGTCATTCTGTTACTCACCACAGGAGCAGCGATAGCTACAACGGTGGCTTGGTATCCTGTCAGTAAAACAGCAGCATGTTTGATGATTCCATACATAGGCTGGTTAGCATTTGCCTCCCTGCTCAATTACTGCATCTGGAAGGATAATCGTGATAAGAAACATCAGGGATAGATTTTTTAAAAAAATAAATACAATTACAGTTCCACTGTAATTGTATTTAACTGCAGTTACAATTGCAATTCCACTATCCTTATCCATAGTAGATCATGTTAATAGAGATTCATGAAATAAAATAAAGTGAAGCTGAGCAATTAAACTGTTACTAGAAATGTGTCTGTAATCAAGCTGATGTTAAGTCCACAGAGGCTTTTATATGAGCAGGAGATGACCTCCGTTGCCTTTTGGAAGTGTTTGCTTCCCTTGAGACGGGCTTGCACACGCAAGTCCAATTGCCGCTTGCTTGCTTATTGTAAGACGGTTTGTAGCTGGATTTAAGGGCACTGCGCTTGAGGGAAATGGAAGAAGGCGAAGATAACCGAGAGGGGCATGACCAGGAATAAGGTCACGGGAGGGTCCTTGGAAGAACTCCAGACTATGCTGAGTCCAACTTGATGGCTCTGACTGCTGATGCGCTGGTGTTGCAGCAGTGTGAAACTTGCCTATGGAAACCACCTCTTCTGGTGGTCAGACCACACACTATGGCTAAACATTTCACCTCAACATTTTTAAAGTGTCAATTATTGCTGGTCTGACACAGCAGCTCAGGGGAGTTTGCGGGGGGGGGTGTCAAAAAAGGCAAGATAGCCACGGCCATGTGATCAAAGCCCCATCTCATGTTTTACGTGTGTCGCCCCATAAAAAGGGCACAACCTTGACTGCGTGGCTGTGGTCACCATCTTGACTTTTTAACCCCTTCCCTGCAACAACCTCTAGTAGCCAATTAGAGCTTGCAGCTTTAGCGTTCGCTGCCTTACTTTGAGAAATCAGTCAGGATCTAAGACTGAGCAAAGCAAAATGAAATAACTTACTGCAGGAATTTAAAATGACACTTGGGAAAGTTTAGGCCTGAAAGTGGTGACTCCAAGCCAGTGTTCCAATGGGATGGAGAGCTTCAGGGAACACCTCTGTTCACGCTTCCTAGTCTAGGTTTGCACTCTCAGTCTGTACATACCATTGGCATCTTTTCCCCCTTTGTTAATAAAACAGGACAGAAAAATGTAAGAGAAAAAAAATACATAATCTATACCATAAGGAGGCCTCACCTTTGGCAAAAAGCTCAGCCCTTGTTATTGGTACCTGAGCAACCCAACAAGATGTTGATGTTCAAATATTACTGTCTCAGAGCAGCGGGAAAATATTTTTTAAAAAATCAATAATTTTAGACTTTGTGAACGTCATGGTCAAGCTGTGCTTTTCCAGTAATGCTTTAATAACTCAATTGATGTTCTTGTACACTTAGTTCTAAAGACAGTTGCAAACTAATGATTTGAAACCTGGAAGCATAATTCATCCGTTTTCCCCAGAACCACAAAAGCTGACTATCATCGGCACGATTTCCCATGTGTTTAATGTCCTAGTTCAGCAGCACAGAACCTCACACTTCCAATATAAGTGTTACTTGTGGAACAAGTTTTCATGATAGTGCATGTGCTGCTATTTAGTGTCAGAAGTTTTTACAAGGTAAAGAATGTAATAATGCGGGATTCAGCTTTGCTTTTTTAAAAATAAGTTTTTAATTCGTATTTGAAATTTTGTTTGAAAGGGTGTACTGGAGCAACACTAGGAGAAGTTAAGAAGCAGTCACCAAATAAGATTTCCTACGAGATAATGCTGGGAATGTATATGGTCCTTGGTCTGATCTCAGTTGTTTTAGTCTTTTTTTACCTCTGACTTTTTAACAACACAAAGATATATCTTTTATCTTCTACTACTGTGTATTTTATTAGCTGACTCTTTAAAAAGGTTGGGAGAAAAAGAAGCAACAGAGAGTAAACTCTGAGGTGTAGTTAGCGACTTGACTCTTTGAGCACTTCGCAAGGTGATTAGCGGATACACAAAGCATTATGCCAAAGAGTAAGACTAGTTCACGTTCTAATCACCACCTACTTTGAATATGGCCTGTATCCACTTTGGCCCTAGAAAAGTAATATTTCAACCCTTCCACCTCTCACTGATGCTGGGCTACCAACCTCTCAGTGACACAGTGTCTTTCATGAAATGTGTGTGTTGCTTGATGCAGCCAGGACAAGCTCATCACCAAAGTGCCTTCCCCCTCTTGCCCCTCTGTCCCTTTATATTTCTAGCAAGATCATCATTCTTTTCACCCCAAATTCAACCACCAAAACGTCTATTGCTTGTCTACATGATAGCGGCAGGTTGAGCTTGGCTATTTTCAAAATGTTAAGTAGGGCTGTGGACTTTGAAGAAGCAGGAGAGGAAGAGGGTTGACACTTTTGAACTTTGTCGGTGTTGGAGAAGACTTCTGAGAATACTGTGGACAGCCAAGAAAATAAAAAAAATGGATCACCAAAAAAACCAGCCCAGAGTTCTCACTCAAGGCACAAAAGCGTGAGAGGCACTGTGTGGGTTGGGGAGGGTGCATGGGGGTGCAGCATGGGTTGGGGAGAGTGCAGGGGGGTGGCGCAGGTCAGTGGGGGTGTGGTGCTGGTCAGGAAGGGTGTGCAGAGGTGCATGAGTGGCCAGCGTGGTGCGAGCACAGAGGGTCTGGGGGAGGGTGCACAGGTGGGAGAGACACCCCAGAGACTTGTGACCTTCTCTGCTGGCTCCCCTTCTGACTTTCTGGGGAAGCTAGAATGGAAGGTTGCAAATGGCAATCGTGTGATCATGGGGCGCTTGGCAACCCGTCGTAAGTGTGAACAGGTTGCCAAGCACCCAGATCATGATCATGTGACTGGGGGAGTGCTGGGATGGCTGCAACTCAAGGACTGGTTGTAAGTCTCCCTTTTCAGCACTGTCATAACTTTTAATGGTCACTGAATGAATGGTTGTAAGTCAAGGACTACCTTAAGTAAGTTTATTGTTGTAATCATGGGTCATAACATACAGCATACCATAAAATACAATGAAAGAACAGTAGAATAGTAAGAGTGTAAAATGAAGTAATAAAAAAGAGTGTTAGCTGTAAGAAGGTTAAAATAAGATGAAGCCAGAGCTACAACTAAGAACTCAAGTATTTTCTTTCTAAGTGTAAATTACAGCAAAGCAAAAGTAAGAATGAATGAATGAATGAATGAATGAATGAATGAATGAATGAATGAATGAATGAATGTGGTAGGATGGGTGACAGGTTTGTTCCATTGATTCCCAACTGTCTAATGGAGAAAACAGAGATTGGCAAGGTGAGATTCTTGAAGTTTCTTTAGTGCCCCAATAATGCAAGATGTATTCCTACCTCCATCCTTAAATAAGTAGTGGGGGTGCCCTAGAGAAGGCCCAAGATCTTCCTTATGAAGTTTTGGACTACTTCCAATTGGGCAATAACCTTCTCACCCAGATCTCAGCCCCATACAGCATCTGGGCTTCCACCTTGTCCTGGAATATTTTAAGGGCAGAGGCTACCAGCTGCCTTCCTTTAGAATAGTAAAACTTCAGAATAGTGCCCACCATATGTTGGGTGGTTGTTAAATGTGTTTTCTATGTAAGACACTTATGAAAGGTGATGCCTAGGTATTTAAGAGTGGCATTGCTCTAGCTGTTGGACGTTAATGGTCCATCTGTATTTAGTATTACTTCTGCCAAAGGCCACTACCTTTTTTTAAATTATAATTTATCCTAAGTTTTTCCTTGTGGGCCCATTCTTACTCTGTCTCTAATGTCAGTATGTAGTTCAATTATTAATTTGAGAAGATGCCTATCGATGTCTGACCCACAGTGACTAGAGACCTGTCAATTGAATTAAAGGCAGAGGTAAGATCAGTAAAGGTGACATAGAGTTGTTTGGTATGTCTGTTGACATATTTCTGAGTAAGGGCCTTCAAAGTGGTGCAGTGATCTATTTTGTTATGTCCTTTACAAAACCTTGCCTGTTGTGGATGGAAGAATTTTGCTTCTTCTTCCTAATCTTCTAATTTATTCAGAAGATGTCTGGCACGGAAGTTGGTGTCAACTCTTGGTGCTTCTGGTTGAGAGCCATGGCGAGCTAGATGTCCGTTTTTTGTAATGGGATGGTGTTATGACACAGTCACATTGCTTCAGTGTCGATGTATCATATCTTAAGGCTCTATAATGCTTTACACTGACCATTTCTGCAAGAAACACTCATTATGGAGCAACTGTGTGAAAACAAAAGTCATGGGTTTTGCAGAGGTGTAAAAAATTAATTTGGACTCTCAAGGGCGCAAAACAGAGAAGGTTCCCTGTTTTAATGATCTGGGCTTCGTGCTGCATGATTCAAGCAACGCATCCTGTCCAAGTTGCTTTGAACACCTAGGAAAGTTAAGCAGCAACTCTCTTCGGTAAAGGTGCCCAGTTGATACCAGCTGCTGTGAAACTTTTGAAGCCAAGATGCTGGCACAGCTCCTACAGGGAGCTCAGTTAAACCCAGCCATCAATTATGACAAACTAAAGAGGGTCTGAACCAGCTTCCTAAGAAAGTTGTTCCAAGTGGTGGTGAAATGCGTGTCCTGGACAGATGGAAGAATTCCACGTACAACTGCTTTTGGCAAATAAAGATCCTAAAATAATGCAAAAGTTAAAGAATGTGTGTGTCACTAATTGCAAAGCATACCAAGCACGATCACAGGCCTTTTTTACCCTCCCCTCCCGCTCCCAGAATGGTCCTGAAACAATTATAACGAACTTGAAAAGAAGTGGCTCTCAATGGCATTAGTTAAAAGGTAAAAGGCAGACGTGCATATGTTTAATATTTCAAAAAGAAAAAAAATGTGTCATCAACAGTAGGCACTGGGAACTGAGCCATGATTTGAATCTTTCATGCTGATGGAGACACCTCAAAGAAACATCTATGGTGCAAAGAACAACCCGTGGCTTTTCTTCTCTACTGCAACTTTATCTTCAAATTCAAATGATAGATGTTACATCAAAGGCAAATTATCATAGTTTGCTGATACTGTTTATTACAAATAAAATTGAAATATCAATATCACGTGAGCCAGCTGAACCTTTGAAATGATTTGTTTCATATTATTATTTAAGCAAAGCATTTTAAAGGAAGTAGGTAGGAACACAATTCTGTTGGGTAAAATAAGGACTTCAATTACTTCAAATGTAGTATATCAAGAAAGTAAAGCAAGCTGAAAAATGCTGTACAAACATACTCCCACAGAAACAAATTAAAAACATGCTAATTACAG